ATCAGACTGGTGGTTTTTGTCGCCGTCGATATGCCTAATATTTCTTTTATTTTCTCCTCTACCGTTTTTTTATCATGTCTTCAACCACGGGTTTTCTCCCCTCTTCTTATAAACCAATATCTTCTTATGATATCACCTTTAGCAATAATCCCGATTGTGTATTTCTACAATTTCTCTCAAATATACAAATTGTTTTGAATGGTCTTCTTCTCTCTGGACTGCTCTCCGAGCACGGAAAAAATTTGGGTTCTTGGATGGTTCAATTCCTCCTCTACCCGATGCCTCTTCTTTATTAGAAGATTGGTTTGTGAATAATTCCATGTTGGTTTCTTGGATATTGAAAACAGTTTATCCAATTATTCGGCCTTCTATTCCTCATATTGAATACAGTTATTCGGCCTTCTGTTCCTCAAATATTGAGATCGATCTTATATTCCCCATCTTTAAGCCACTTAACCGTAGCCTTTTGACTCCAATACAACTCCTCATTTTTATAAGCTAAGTTCCACTAAGATTTTAACCTCTGCCACTTGGACTAGTCCCTAATACTTTTTTACTCTACTATATGACTTCTCTCTCAATTTTAGCATGGTANTACTAAATAAGTCACAGCCAGACACGTTTTCAAGTAGACTCCACAACCTCTACAAAACCAGGCAGCTTCACCCATCTTTTATCAAAAGTAACAAGAGAATTCAAGATTCACATAGTGTGGTCAGAAGAAGTATTAGAAATGTTCTTAACTTGACCACAGGGAAACACAGATTCCAAGCAAGAGAAATTAAAAACATATCAAGTCTCTCTTCAATGGACTCAACCCCTCCCGTTGTTGGCCCAAGTGAAGGAGTGACCCTCATACTTAGTTTGCACAGCCCCTAGACCTCTGAGTAAATTCTTAAAACTAGAGAAACTACTTTCCTTCCTCAAAATACCTCATCTTTTTTCCTCATTAGAGAGAATGTCATTAAAATCCTTTCGCATACACCACAACTCACCCCACCCCAATACTATGCCTTAACAGGACTTTCCATTGACTTCTACAGCCTCAACCTTTTTTTTTTTATTGGAGCTGGATGACACCAAATCCTTTTTAACTACACCTTCTGAGTCAATAGCTATAGCTTTAGAAACCACTAACTTACCTGCTTTGGGTTTACTTATCAAGGACTTTCTTTTTCTCTGCACTATTCTACCATCTATTGAGGAAGGTAAGATGTTCACCTCCACAAGTTGAGAACCAGAGGGCTCAAATTCCTTATGGTCCTTTTCAGGTAAAGAGTTATCCTCCACTAAAGTTCCTATCTCAGCAACAAAGTCCCCACTACCTTCACCCTCCACTACAATCAATTGCCTTTCTTCACTAATGGCTTTTTCACCTATGATTTCTTCGGTGATGTTTTTCAACCCCTACTATACTTTTATCTAAACTGGCATTAGGAGATTTACTCCCACCTAGCCTATTATCCTAACTCCCAAAATTGAAACTGTAGAAGTTTATACTCCCAGAAGTGTACAAACTACTAGCTCTTAGCCACTCTCCAAATTGGCCCAAGTTAAGCACATTTTTATGAACATCTTTTTGTTTTAAAAGATAGTTTCTATCCGAGTGTCCTATTTTACCACAAGAATAACAGAAACCTTGAATATTCTCATACCTGAAATCAATCCATCGGTTTTCAAATCCCAGTTTAATATTCCTGCCTATGAGAATTGGTTCTGCTAGTTTTCATCTCCGCCAATACCTTTATGATTTTTCCATGGATACTTTCTGCTCCTGGTAACATCAGATCCAAAACTTTGCCAAGTTTCCTTTCACTTTTCATTCCTGTGTGTGCTGAAATCCAGTGCAGAGGAAGTTTTAAAATCTAAATCCAGATCCTTATTTTTTCCTCTTCTTCTGAAAATTCGAGCTTTATTGGATCCCAATTCTTCAGGAGAAGGTATTGCCCGTCAAATGACCACAACTTCCCTTGTAGATTTTTCTATTTATCCTCCTCCGATTGAAAGACAAACTGAAATTTGTTGGCTCCTAGGCTTCTGATTGAGAAAGGTTTCTTCGTGGCCCAGATTCCAAACAAAGATGATTTCAATCCGTTAAAATTGATTCTCTTCTCTCCAAAGCTTTTTCCTTATCAGACTTAGCTGGCAATCCTGAATCCCCAAAGCAATATCTGACTCCGAGAGTTCAACCTCTTCTACCTCATTTTCCGACAATTTGAATTTGAGCATTCGATCTGAAATTTCTTGTTCTATAGCTCCACTCCGAAACAAGATACCAAAAGAAACACACAAAGCCCCTTAGGCTGACATGCGGAATCCTGGCCCGAACTAAGCAACCCAAAAGACCCAAAAAAATTGAGGAAGAAAATACTACAAGAGAACACCTACACTCGAACAAGAACAAACCAGACGCTACTCAAACAAGGGAAAACCCTAAAAAAAAAGAGCGAACATATAGGAACAAAAAAGAGAAATGAAAGAACTAAGAAACATTTTGAGGAAACCCTAAAAAACTATCCAACTCGTGGAACGAAATCTCTAGAAAGTGAAAAAATCATAACACCTGCCTATTTAACTATTCTACAATTTACACAACTTGCAAGACTTGAGGAACTAACATGGCTTAAGTGTGGTCCGCCAATTCTAAATTAGGATGAAGTTCTCCACAAAATTTGCCTTTGCGAGGAACAAAAGAATATTGGGACGAAATACTAATAAAAAGTTTGGTCTAGAAACGCATTCCCTTAAAATCAAAGGACTGACAGTGAAAGTAGTACAATGTCAGGTGCAATCACATTGCTACTCCTACATGGTTTAGTCGACGCCACCCGCAAGGGTTGCGCCGGTTTTCACTGTGACCCTATGATAGCGTGCCACGTGGCAGTTGAGGATTTCAGCTTTTTTTTAGGTAGTGTTTGGTTTGAGGGATTTGGAGGGGAGAGGAAGGGAGGGGATGGAGAATTTTATTTTTCTCTTGTTTGGTTGGAAAATTAGGAGGGGAGGGAAAGGAAAATTTTTAAGTAAATTTCTCTCCCTCCCTCACTTTCCCTCCCCTCCAAAATTGGAGGGATTTGGAGGGAAAATGTTTTAAAATGATGTGAAAATACCATTTAGTCCCTACTTTTAATTGTTTTTTATTGTTTATCTTATTTCATTAAGGATATATTTGTCATTTTAACATTATTTTCCCTCCACTTTCATTTTCTTATCAAACAAGGTTTACCATTTTTCCTTCTTTCTCCTCCAACAAAATTCCTCCAAACAAGGTAAGTTATTTTACATCACCTCCCCTCCCCTCCCTTTCTTTCCATTAAAATCCCTCCCCTTCCTTCCCCTCCATTGAACCAAACACACCCTTACTTCCCGTTTTAAAGTCCATGTGGGTTTTATGTTTCAATTTTTTTTTTTAATCAACAGATAACCATGGTTCCAAACCATGGTTATACTAAAGCAACAAAAAATATCAAAATCGCAAAAATACATTAAAATTTCATATCAGAAATTATGAAACAAACAGAGAGAGAGAATAATAGACGAACATTCAACTTCTTCAACTTAGAAAAAATACGATTCCGAGAGATGGTGGCCGATTCCAAGTGGCGCAGCTCGCATGCATTCTTTAGTTTTTTTCCATCATATCTCTCCCTCTCTTTTAGAAAGCAAATCGGAATGAAGCAAAAGAAAAAGGAAAGCTTTTTTAACTGGACACCACAAATTCTTACAAGATCTGGAGACCCCATTAACTTATTTCCCTAAAAAAGATTGAATTTTGTTTTCAGAAGTTCAATACTAGCCACTGTGCAATAACCCACATTAGCCAAATTCTAACAAGAATTTTGCTTTCACAATTCTTTTTTTACAAGATCTACAAACAAAATGATGTAGGAAAGCATACGAGACGATATTAATGAGATCACAAACCTTACTATATGAATTCATATTTTCATAAACAACTGAATATAATAAAAGAGGGGGTCTTTATATAAGGCTCCTAAACCCTAATGGCATGATTGGTATGAAGGAATAACATGAGAATGGAATGGTCATTCCCTTACTCATTCATTATCCCATGATTGGTATATTTTTTGAAAAGGAATGACCATTCCAATGGGAATAGCAAAACCCATCTCCATGGGATTAGCCATTCCATAGTAAATGGAAGATTTTCTCATTCCCATGTGTGTAGGAATCAATTTTTCAAAAAATAAAATTAATAAATAATAATAAAAAATAAATATATAATATAAATCATGATTAAAATATATTAAATAAAATTATTTTTAAAAAATTCAAATAAAAAAATAAAAAATTACTTTTATTTCTTTTTTAATTGATTAAAAATATATTATTTTTATATTATTAAACAATATATTATTCTATTTTTATATATTATTCAAAATATATTATTAAATATTGTTTATTTTATTTTTATATATTATTAAAAAAGCATTCATAATTTATTAAAAGTATATTATTTTTTTAAAAAAACTTTTATTTATTTTTATAATAAAAAATAATAATGTCATTCCATTCCAGCCCTATTCATTCTGCATACCAAACGCATCAATGACAAAATATGTTTCATTCCATTCTCATAATCATTCCATTCTTCAATTCATTCCATTACTACGAAATTTCATTCCATCATACCAATCATGCCATAACAGTAACTTGCTCACCAACTAAACATAAATAACAAATAAATATTAAATGCTAATAATAATAATAGATACTAATTAAACTACCAAATATTTTAATACAAAAAATAATAGATATTATTCTCCATCACAAAAGAGGGATGAAGAATTGGAGAGATTTTGTATCTGTGAACTCGAAAAATTGGGCGAGATGCTGCAATTTTCAAATTTTTTTGTTGCTGCAATAATCTAAAAATTCGGCCTTGCTTTTTTGTTGCTGCAATAACCATGGTTATTTGTTGATAAAATATATATATATATTAAAAAAAAATCTTCAACTGCCACGTGTCACGCTATCATAAGGTCACAGTGAAAAAGGGAGCCACCCTCGCGGGTGGCGTCGACAAAACCCTCGTACAGATACGACGAAGCCCAGAGAAAAAAGGCAAAGATGGCGCCAAAACAGCTAGGGTAAAACTCTATTCCTAATTTCCTCTGTCAATTAACAACTTTCTATTTCATGACTGCGTTATTTTTACGGCTCCATTGTTACTACAGATCTCACCTGTAAATCCCGAGTTTTGATGTTGGGGGCAAAAGCTGCTAGAACCCTAGATCCGTTTTCAATTGGGGTTTCTCAATTTCTCCAAGTCCAGAAGCTGCAGGTCGTTTAATAAATTACATTTGTGAAGTCGACTTAAATACGTTTGTCACTGTGATTGTATCATCCGTCTTATGTTTCGCATCTAACCATCTAATTTTGCACTTCAGCCTATTCTGTGTTGAGATTTCGATTAAGTTCCAGTCATCAGGCATCATTTGGATAATATCATCATATTCTACCATGGATATAAGCAGTAGCGAGGAGGATGAGATATTTTCGCTTACGAAAAGGGTAAAAAAATTCCATGAAGAAAACCACGATTTTTTTAGTGACTTGCCAGACCCGATTCTGGTTCACATTCTTTCCTTTCTACCGCTACGTGATGCTATCAGAACTGTTCTTCTTCCAAGATTCGGTAAACTTTGGCTTAGCTTGCCGGTTCTTGATTTGGACAACTGTGTGTACCATGAGGATGATGAAAATACAGATGTCGTGATTTGTGACTATGAAAACTTCATGCATGTAGTTCATCAGGTCTGGAATCATCATGAGAACACGCTGGATAAATTGCACCTTAGGTTTGCCCTTGCGCAATCTTATGCACATTACACTGAGTCCGACCTTAATAATCCCAACCTTAGTGATTATGAAAGACGGAAGGTGGATAAAGAGAGGGCCGCCTTATATCAAGTGGGGAAATTAATTGGTTATGCCGTGAGCAGAAAAGTCAAGGTCTTGGATCTCGATCTTAAGGGCTGTGATTATATTGAACAGTATTATGAGTTACCAGATGTTTTAAGTACTGGATACTTGATGAATTTGCGGTTGGTCGCTTGTAAAATTAGATCTTGCGAGCAAATAAATCTGCCGGCACTGAGAGTCTTATCTCTGCATAAGGTTTTTTTGAGTGATGAAGCCATGGAAAGAATCTTGAATGGTTGCCCGTTTCTTGAGGATCTGTCTTTGTTTGAATGTCGTGGCTTTCGCCAGTTGAATTCCAAAAACCCAAACTTGAAGAAGTTGATGCTTAGTCTGGCTTGGAATAACTGGGTTGTGGCCGTGCAGTGTCCTCATGTAGTGTCAATAGAAATATCTGGATGGATCGAGGGTGTACGTTTGCCAATAAAGGACAGGAATCATTTCTCATCTTTGGTCGAAGCTTCCATCTACTATAGCAGCTTTTTTAGAGGCTGGGACAAACCTTATTCTCGACTGCGGGTCCTACTGTTCATGGTTCGCCGGTGCAGGACTTTCAGCATATGCGCTTGGAGTATTTTGGTATCCTTTGTGCCTTTACGTGTTTCGAGTTATTTGAACATCTGACATCTTTATTGCATGAGAGATGAAATCAAAGGCTTTTGGATTTTTTTATTTATTTATTCTTTGTGAAGAACGAATTATTGAAAGAGTACTGTCAAGATGTGAAATTTGGAGTGTTAAATGTTAATCTGATTATGAGCATGACAGTGAATTGTGATGCCTAAACAACTAAAAACAGTATATATGTTGTAGTTTCTTTAAATGAGGAAACTATTTCTATGTGGTAGCCGCAAGAACACAAAAGGTGATAAGTTGATGAAAAGAGCAAAAAGAAACTTTTGTGACAATTTATGTTGGCCATGTATCACAACTAACGCAGATCTTGTAAATATCATGAGATAACATATGCTACATGCTGGGACTACATGAAAATAATTGGTTTTTATACTTTTATGAGCAGGTGTTGTCAATATGCAAGTTGAAGAATCTCTTCTGCCCACAGTTCAAGTGGAAGCATATCAAAGTTAAACTTCATCTCACAAAATGGGACCTTCCCGGGCTTTCCTTCCTCTTGAAACTTTCTTCTTCTTCTCTCGTGGAACTTACCATGCTTACCCTTGGTCAAAATGACTCGTTCTTTAAGGTACAAATTTCTCCTCATATTTTGAATAATCATTTTCATCATCCGTCTTTCCCTGAATTGGGGTACTAAGATCATTAAACTTTGTGCTGCTAGACTGTGTACACAAGATGGATTTGGGAATATGATTTTGATGGAGAGGGATACTTGAACTCACAGAAAGCAACCTTACCCTACCTCGAGAGCATTAGGATACATAGCTGCCATATACGCGACCCGTATTTCATCCAGATTGTGAAATTTCTGCTGAAAATTACTCCCAGGTTGCAGAAAATGGTAATTTCAACCGAGAAAGAATTTACCTCAGAACAACAACTGTTTGAGCTCTCGGAGGAGTTATCAACGTCGCCTAGAGCCTCATTGGAGGCATTGGTGTGTATCTCGTAAAATCCCATTATGAATTGCTACTTTTTTTATTCATTATGAATTGCTACTTTTTTTTTTTTTTTTCATTATGAATTGCTACTTATGGCCTCGTTATTGCTTTTGAGGTGAAATTACTTGAAAAATGTGGCTTGTAATCTCTGGAAACGGGAGAATCATTAGATCACTTTCTTCTATTATGAATGGGTCTTAATTTATGTGATCTACTTTCTCAAAACTAGTAATTACCCGTGCGATGCACGGGGAAATTATTATCTATACGCTTTTTAGAATGCACCTTTGTATATAAATTATGTAATAATGCAATGATCATGATCATAAGAATAGACATAAACATATAATTAAACTGAAAAGATCATATATTATTGAACACTTCCCTATATACAACATTGTTGGTTTGATTCTTTGGCATGTCAACTTCACCACAAATTAAGATTTTCAAACATTTTCGGTTAGTGACATGTGAGACAATAATATATAACTGTTCATGACTGAATACTGGTTTCTTAAGAAATAAGCAAACATGAGATAAGGATTGTCCCTGACTCTTGTTCATAGTCATGGCGCAAGAAACCATAATGAGAAACTGCCGCTGTTGGAACTTAAAAGGAATTCTAACATCAGAAGGAGTTATGGCCATTCTTGGAATCAACACCTTATCACCAGCATGATCTCCTGTGAGTATCTTACACTCAAGAACATGACTGGATAGCTTTGTCACAACCAATTGTGTCTCATTACACAAACCCATAGAATGATCCATGTTCCGCAACAACATGACCGGAGTTCCAATTTTCAAATACAACTCATGGTTCGGTATTCCGGAACACTTGATACTATTCAAAGAATGATCCATGTTCCGCAACAACATGACCGGAGTTCCAATTTTCAAATACAACTCATGGTTCGGTATTCCGGAACACTTGATACTATTCAAAAACTCAGGCGTATGGAGATCAGACAAAAAATCATTATTAGAATCCGATTTGCATGTACTGTCAGAACTCAAGTACATACGACCATCCAACAAATTCAATGATGTCATGTACTCATTGATAGACTCGGCCACATCCAACGTCGGCGCTATAATTCAAATTACAAATCAATTCCCAATTTTTCAAAAATTTTTAAAAAAAGTTATAAATTGTAGTAAAATCTAAAATTTTAGGCGAGAACTTTTTTTCAACTTAAAGTAAATCCCTATTGTTATTTTATAATATTAGATTGAATTTCCAAAAGAACTAAGTCAAAGGTTTTGACTCAAATTTTTTATCAAGTTTCTATAAATGATTTTTTAATCAACCTCTTTCAATATATACATACATATATATATATATATATATAGATATAAGTACATATATAGTACTCCCTCCTTTTTTTAATAAGTATCGTTTTGAAAAGTTGCACAGTAATTAAGATATTTTTTTTTTGTAAATAATAACCCTCATTAATGAGAATAGAGATGGATGTTTTGAGAAAAGATGAAGAATGAATATGAAAAGATGTAGTGTATTTATTAGCTAGATTGAGGTAATAATGAAAAAATATGTACAAAATATCCAAAACGTCATTTATTTGGTTAATTGTTCATGGGAAAAAAGTGCTTAACGTCATCAAAACCGTGAGTTGGTTGATGCCTACCCTCCGAAAAGAAATAAAGTCAAAATGACATTTAAAAAAAAGGAGGTAGTATCTATTAATATATAAAAAAACAAAGGATTTATTATATATAATAATTTAAAATTTACGAAGAATGTTTAAATTACTTATAACGTAACTTGTTTTATATGGCTTGATGTTACATTTATATTGATATATTTTGATCTCCTACAATTATGCTTCCTAACTAACTAATAAATTAGATATCCTTGGTGTATATATTTCACATGTGACCTTTCAATTCGGAAAGAATCAATTGACATTATCCTCATCCACAATTCAACATCATCCTCCCGGTTTTTTTGTTAAGAAATTGATTCTAATATTGCTTTTAAAATCTCATTTTTTTTACTCAAATTGCACGTGCTTTTTAACAAATTTTCCTAAATTACTAAGTCAAACAAATTAATTAATAAGTCAAACATTCTATTTAAGTATTTTTCCAACAACCTTTCTACATATATTAAAAAGAATTATTATTTACTACTGAAAATGAAGCCGATTTTTCTACCAATAAACTGATTATTATCAAACAAATTGATCCGAATATTTTTTTAAACAAAATAAAAAATCATCAATTTTTCCTAAAAATGCAACCGAATTTTCCTAACACTGCACCGATTTTTTTACCAAATAAATTGAATTGAAAATAATTTTAATAAAAAATTGAAACAATTTGTTAATGTTTATGCAACTGTCTCTTTCCTAAAGAAAATGATATGAACTTAACAAAAAAAAATGATATGAACTTACCAAAATCTCGGTAAAACATGGTTAAGAAAAACATAAGAATCCAAAAAAATTGATGCATTTAAATTTTGAAAAGTTGCACACAATTTTTCCTAAATAATTGGATAAGGTGACTTTAAATATCAAAGATGAATCGCTTTTGTTACCAAAAATGTGGACACAATTTTGAATGTACATCCCGTCCAAATATCAGTTTTATTCTAAAATAAAAATTGCACATGGTTTTATCCAATTTACACACTTTTTTTTAAAGAAAAAATTATTCAATAAAATTGGAAGAATTGGTTAAGAATTATACAACTATTTGTTTCCTAAATTCGTATCCAATTTGTACGGTCTTTAAGTTAATTTGTATTTAGAATTGTTTTCATAAATAATTGACACATTTTTTGCATAAGAATCTCCAAATTTGTTACCAAAATATATGATTTAAATTTTGGTACAAAAAATAAAATATGATGCGAAAAAAATGGGATTCAAATTTTGCCGTAAGAATTTCCAAATTAGTTACCAAAAAAATAGGATTCAGATTTTGTTACTAATGATTCACATGTATTTTTTCAAACTTTTCATTTATAGTAAGTCAATTGTTTTATTTATTAGGTCAAACTTTCTATTAATGTATTTTTCCAACAATCTCTTTATATATATATAGATATAGATATAGATATAGATTTGCGGAAACAATTGACAAATATTTGCTGAGAACACCTCTGGAAATAACTACACTGACCTTGGTCAATGTCCAATTAAAATGCTTTAAAATTTAAATAGTGGATATACCTACAAAGTAAAGTCCAGATTTTTATTTAAGTGACCCCTCAAAGGAATAAATTGGTGAAATGACCTTCTTTTATGTTATTTGTGTTATTAACTTTTTTTATATAAAATATTATTTTTTAAAAAAAAGCATAAATATTTAAAATGCCCTTATTCAATTTTTTCCTCTTCACATCTCGTTTGACGTTGCGTGATTCATGTTTTTCTCCTTCAAAAGAAGAAACAAAATCTCTAATTATTACACATAAACCTTGAATTTTATATTGCAAAACAAATATGTTAGATGGTGGAAGAACAAGAGAATCATTATCTCCTCTATTTGGGAGAAGGTGAAAAGTCAGAAAAAATTAATTTTTAGTAAGGTTTTTTGTTATTTATTTTGATAAGCATTTTGGTTTCATATCTTGTATGATTAATAAGCATTTTAGTTTCATATTTTTTATGACCAATTACATTTTTTTTTCCATATTATCAATTGATGATTGCATTTGATTTTACATAATGAATGTACAGTTGTTATGACATTTCATAATGAAGGTAGATTCGTTATGAACATTTTGAACTATTCATCAGATAGCGAATCTACTTAGTGCAATGTTTACAATTGTAATGTAAAAACTCATATATCCCCAATGTTTTAGATAATAGACATAATAAAGATACTTGTTTCGTTTTAGCAATAGACATAATAAATAAATCAGTCGAACACTCCTAAGTTTATAAGATTAGCCGAGCGATAAAATTTTCCTTTCGTCACATAACAATTACCATTTTAGAAAAATGACCATTTTCATATTTTAGCTTCGAAATACTTATAACCGAACTTATTTTACACAATAATGATACTTGTTTCGTTTTCAAAATAGAAATAATGAAGAAATTGGTCGAACGGGTATACTATCATTATAATGTATTATATTACGAAGGTAGTGTCGTTATAGTGGTATTTCATCTAAAGGGCTAAAAGTATAACTATAACGAGTGTACTATCGTTCTAATGTATTATATAACGGAGATAAAATCCTTATAGTAATATTTCATAAACAGAACTGAATATATAACTATAACGAAATTACTAATGTTCTGATGCCGACGAGAGTGCGTTGGCGTTCCTCGACAAGCATGACCGTCTCCGACCCCTTGTTTGGTTATTATTCGGTTTTTATTATTTATGTTTCTTTTATTTAGTATTATTGGGCTTTTAAGATTTATTGTTAGGTCGTGAAGTGTCCAACATATAAGACACTTTCTCTTTGTCATTCATCAGATTATTGATTATGAAATAAAACATCGTTCTTGAGAGTTTTCTCTGTTATCCCAAATCCCATCGTACGCTTCCTACATCATCTGGTATGAGTTAACCGGGACGATTCTCGATGCCGCCGAAACGACGTGATGACGAGATTGACGAGCGTTTTCAGCATATGGATGAGCGAATGCAATCCATGGACACGCGAGTTGCGGATCTGTCTATCGGAATTGAGGACATCCGGCTTACGCTGGCAACGATGGTAAGGGATCGACAAACGAACCGCGAATTCGCCGGAGGCCGAGGCGGTCGCGTGGGTCCTAGGGCCGGTCGGGGTGGACGTGGCATGTTCGGGGCGCCCCGAAACTCGTTCCAACAACCCGGCGACGACGACAGTGACGGTACATGGTCGATCGGTAACCCTTTTGCTAAGGGTTTTGACCACGATTTTCCACAGCAGGAAGAAGGGTTCCGTGACCCTTTGTCCCCTCATCGTCACGCACAGGAGCAGATGCATCCCCATTGACGCGGCGGTCAACATCGTGAAGCCCTAGCCCACGACTGACATCGTTGCGGGGAGCGGTTCCTCCGGCGTGAGGCTGGCGGCGGGATGGAGGCTCGTTGGCGACAACAGGAAGGTCGCCGCAGAGCTGTTGCTTCCGATGACGAGGGCGACGACTTCGGACCCCACTGTGGCAATGTGTTCGACGGCGTCAGAAGGCAACCAGCCCGACATCACTTTGCACAGGCTGAAGGCGCAAATGAAGGCCGATGGGAGTCGGCTTTCCGGGT